AAAAACGGAGTCGGCTAACGCGCAATCGTTGTCACAAACAGGATTGGCTCAACCACTTGAAGCTGGTTCAACGCATGATGAAGTGATAAAAATGCCAATTCAGATTAGAATCACCTTACGTATATCTTCTCGGCGTACAGTATACCACCAGAGATCATACAACTGTCAACTCATTTCAGTTACGAGAAAAAGTGACATTAGTACTAACAATAATTGTAACTTTTCCTGGCTTCCAAGCTACTATCTTATTAATACACGTTCGCTTTTTTCGAAAGTTGACGAACTGCAAGCGCTTTTATTTAGCAACCCTGCAGACATCATTGCTATCACAGAATCGTGGTTGTACGAGGATATCTCTGATGACCTCATAGCACTTGGTGGGTATAAAATTTATCGTAATGATCGGTCTTACGCACGTGAAGGCGGCGTCTGTATTTACTTGTCGGAAAATATTCCCTGCCAACGAAGGCTAGACTTGGAGAATTCAAGCTTCGAGTGTTTGTGGCTTTGGCTTCGTCCCGAACGCTTACCCAGACCCTTGTCGGGGATTGCTGTTTGTCTTATCTACAACCCCCCAGATCGTTCAGCTCAAGAGCTTCGTGATCTTGACGAGTATTTGATAGACACTACTGACTGCTTGCGTAATAAATATCCGGATTGTGGAATTATTATTCTTGGAGATTTTAACAACTTTGATTTACATAGTCTAGCATCCAACCATACTAGCTTAAAGCAAGTTGTCCATTTACCTACCAGAGGGTCTGCTATCGTTGACCTTAGGGACTGCTCATTATTTATTGTACAGGGGGAGACTGAGGAGAAACTCTACAGTTATAATATTTTTTCGTTGCCCCCCTCCTAAGACAAGTAAAATTTTCAAAGCCCCCCCCCCAAACAGGCAAAACAAGAACATAAATTTTGGTCCCTCCTCTAGCTCTTTATCTTTATTTAGAGAAACAGAAGGTCTAGCTCTTTATTTAGAGAAACAAAAATAGATAATGGGGACCAATAGACACTTCCCATTATAGACTAATTTTTTATCTTAGCAAAAAAGTATATTGCCGGGAAGGGCATACTAAAGTTAGTAAAATTGCAAAGATTGGTTGCGAAATGTTGTAAAATATGTAGAAAATATAGCCTTCCAAAGTTTGCAAATTTTGTATACTTTTATATTGCAATTTTCGCACGCAATACAAAAGAATACAAAATTTGCAAATTTTGCAAGGCTATATTTTCTGTATTTTACAACATTTTGCAACCGAACTTTGCAATAATTTACTTATTTTAGTATGCTCTTTCTAGCTGTGGTGATTTATTTGCATCAAGGACGGATTTTGAGGAGAGGTGTGGAGAGGTGCGCACCTCCCCTGAGATCGTTTTGCACCTCCCCTGAAAGGTCAAGCACCTCCCATTGGGAAAGTTTCAATGATGGAACAAAGTGAAAATGAGATGGTTGCTTAGGATCTACACTTCGTGACGTAAGAAAGTTTTCTCTGTAAAATTGAAACAGTGATAGCCATTCATACCCGTGTCAAGTACCCTTTTAATGCAATTTTTTTGATAGAAACTTTGGAGCAATTGTAATGAAGGGCAAGATTGGAGTCATATACATTCATAATTCATTAATACACTGGTACATATGTACACTACATGCATACCTTACCTCGTTGATATTGGCCTGTTCTACAATAAGCCCTAACTTTCCATGGGAGTTGTGAGCTAAACCGCTGCACCTCCCCTAAAATTTTTTTCCACCTCCCCACTATTTTCACCAAAATCCGGCCTTAATTTGCATCTCTTTGCCTTGTTCTAAAATTAGTCTATAATGGGGATTGCCTATTTACATGAACATAAGAAACTTTTTATTTGGCTTCCATTTATGAATATTGAAGATCTATAAACATTGTTATTTGTTAAGTTGTTTTGTGATACATTTTTAAAACTACTAATGTTTTTTCAAACTGGTGAATATTTTCGAAGCCCCCCTTCTTTCGTCTCTCTGTATTTTTTCAAAGCCCATCTCTTTCAGGTTTTAAAAATTTTAAAGGCCCCCCCCCAGTTTCTCCTCAATCCCCCCTGTACAATAAATAATGAGCGGTCTCTTATTGCAACCAATTTGCATAACTTGTACGAGAAGCCGTATTAAACTGGCTCCGCTTAGCACTTCGAATCATAACATAGTTCATGGGCTTCCTCTTACTAAGGATACCATAAATACTCTGGCCCCCAAACCTAAGCCTATAGAGCACTTTGTGAGACGTTATCCTCTGTCTGGAATTGAGGTTTTCGGACGTTGGGCTTGCTCAAAAAATTGATATGACGAACTCAACGATAATCCAGGGATGGATGAATTGGTTACCTCCTTTCCATCACAAGTGAACAATGCTCTTAATAACATCTTCCCACTAAAGACAGTGAAATTACATCACACCGACAAACCTTGGATAACCCCTTCAATCAAGCAACTTATTAAAGATCGTCAAAAAGCCTTCCATAGAGGTGATAAGCAACAATGGCAACTATTGAAGTGCAAAGTGCAATCAGAAATTAAACAGAGGAAAGAAATGTTTTATAAAGATAAGATTCAGCATCCTCGTAAAGATGATTGTCGAAAGTGGTGGAATGCTGTAAATAAAATGTCCGGAAGATCAAGAAAGAACACGAGCTTCAGTCTCGAGCGTGAGGGGAAAACCTTTTATATAATAACTACAGTGAAACACGCAATTTGATTGGTCAACAGCCGTGCAGGATCAGACAATCCTGCACGGGAAATTCTGAACAGAAATTATTGCATATAATTTTACAAATATACTCGCATTGTAAAGTTTCATTGTACGATACCTTTCGACTTTGAAGTAAGTTTCCAATTATTGAGACGTTGGTTTAGTTGTATGAATAAATTTCTGAACGATACATTGCTATTCAGCAAGTAGCAACGCGTAAGCGTTGAAGTTCATCAGACCATGGCATGCAAGTATAACATCTGTCGCTTCAAAGTTGATCAAACGCGTCGCAATCTTCAAAACTACTTTGGCTCTCTGTTTAGCGAGTTTTCCATTTCAAATTTCGTATATTTTATCGAAAAAGTCCCTGTATTTTCGCTGTATACTTTCGCGAATTCGCGATCAAATTCTGTTCACATATGTTGTTGTTTTCAATAGCGTGGAGTAGCGATTCTCTGATTGGTTAATTCACGAATGTTGTGAGAACTGCACATTTCATCAGCAATTTTAATCAAGTTAAGCGTCGTTTCACTGTAGTAATTTTATAAAACAATTACCGAATGGTTTTCCCGTGCAGGATAGCATGATCCATGCACTTGGGATGTTGCTCGACTTTCGGAAAGCGTAAAAATACACTCGCCTACGGCTCGTGTATTTTTACGCTTTCCGAAAGTCTCGCAACATCCATCGTGCATGGATCACGCAATCCTGCACGGAAAACCATTCAGTATTCCTTTAATCTGATTCCGAATTGGTGAACAGTCTTAACAGTTTCTATACATCTGTTAATGCAGATATCCCTCCACTTGATTGCTCAGTACTACCGGAATTCCTACCCGCTAGCTCCTGACACACCACCTATAATCGAACCTTGTCAAGTTTATAAGAAACTTTGTACTCTTCGACAACCTTTCAAAGCATGTGGCCCTCATAATATTACATCTCGCATATTAAAGAAATTTGCTCACGAGTTTGCAAAACCCGTTGCAACTATCTTTAATACATCCCTAACCTCTGGAACATTTCCTGCCGCCTGGAAAGATTCGTGCATTTCCCCAATTCCAAAAGTGTCACAACCGACTTGTGAAGGAGATACTCGACCAATTTCTCTCACCCCTTGTCTTTCCAATGTCCTGGAGGACTTTGTTGTACAATGGATGATGAAAGACGTCGTGAATATAATATTGACATACAGCAATTTGGTCGTTCGAAAGGATCATCAACAGCATACTGCCTTCTCGATATGATACATAATTGGCTATACCACCTTGACTCTCCTGATAAGCATATCCGTCTACTGTTTTTAGACTACACAAAGGCCTTCGATCTTTCGTATCGGACATAATGTGCTTATTAGTAAGCTTATTGATATCGAAGTAAGGCGCTCTCTGATCCCATGGATTATAAGTTTTCTATCTAACCGTAGACAGTGTGTTAGACTTGGTGGCGCTACCTCGGACTGGTTGGCGGTTACAGCCGGTGTACCACAAAGTACAAAATTGGGACCAATCTTATTTTTGATTATGATCAACGATCTAAAGATCCCATCCCCATATATTCATCATGGCGGACAGTTCTAATTTTGTGAGCTCTACGAAATTCCATCAAAATATCCCGAAAATATGGAACGCTAAAGAAATTTGTAATCATATAGCTTTTTCCAACTTAAGTTATGATAGTAAACGAATTAAATGGATTGGAACTTTTGATACATTGCAGAAATTTGTCGAATGCGATCTTAAATTGGATGGCAAATGGTCTTCGCCAGGCGGTTGTTCGAAAATAGTTTACGTGCTATAATCTAGATATATCAATAACTTGGTACCCCAAGAAACTAAATACACTCGTATTTCACGGTGAGGAAAGCTCGGGTTTGGTTGACGCGTTAATAAATGTGTGTGCAGAGGCAATCTCTGAAGTCGACGGTTTATCAAACAATGTATGCATGTGTGTCGGCCATACATAGTTCGATTGCAACTATAAAACCAGCTGTTGATGAACCTGAACAGATGTCTAATCACTGTATTAAGGACTTTCAACTAACTGATAATAATCAAAAGGTCAGTATAGAGCATGATTTCAAACTTGGCTGTCAGTGTAGAATTTTAGCTGCTGATTTGGAGGGAGTTAAGCTCGATATAGCAATCATGTGCAGGTACATAGAAACTAAGTTTCTTGCAGCTTACAATTCACGGGATAGTGATAGTGAACAAATAAGTGAACTTAAACACGAGCTTCTTAAGGAAAAGGAGAAATGTAGTCAGTTGGAGGCTGATATATCTATTTTGGTTCGAGGAAGGAATAGAAAGATAAACGAATTAAAAAATACCATTACCTGTCTCGAAAACAAACTTAAATCAAGCGATGTCATAAATGAATCTCTAAGACAATCGCTAATGCAAATTAATTCAGAAAAATTCAATGGTGTATTGAGTACCGAACAAAGCCTGTCAAACCAACCTGAACAAATTAATACTTATAACTACATCATAGACACTATAAAATCGATAGAAACTGCAAATTCAAACCTAGGAATTTGTTTACCAGGTGAACCATTTATTCCCGAAACTGTCAGCGTTGAAAGCCCCCTTGATAATTCATGTTTAATTGTCCAACCAGCAAGTTGTAATAGAACCAACAATAAACTCGACAACAAATGTGAAATTAACAAAGTGAAGTTAATGGAGCATAATATGAATAACGACAAAATCAGTAAAGCTAAGGTCTCGCGAAGTTACTCTCGACGCAATCTTAATTCACCCCCTTACTGTGAGCCATTGTCGCTGAAATCGCTTGGAAACTTGCCTCTTATCGAAATATCCAAGCCATTTATAACTCAGAAGAAGGAAACCTTTTTAGAAAACCCATCAAATATATTGAATGATAATACAACTAGCACTGAGACAGTTACTCAGCATGTGTGCATTGGCCAAATACCAGCTGATATCTCTGAATTTATTGTCTTAGAAGGCGACGAATGCATGTCTGAGTGTGACAATACTAATAACTGTCCTTTTCGGCAGAGCTTTCCGGAGCGTCCCCCACCCTTGCCTCATGTTCGAAGAGCGGAATGGTTGGCGCATTTAAATCTTGTTCGCCGACTGACGGCAAAGTAAATTCTAAAGAAAATGAGAGAGAATCACATGAAAATTACAGTTCGATTCCCGTTGAACTTCTTGTTCAAAAAATTCCTGTGAGAATAACCCATCGCGTATCAAACTTTCAAAGAAAAATAAATGCAAAACCTAGACAATTAAGAACACTACAGCATTGTCCTGAACACAGACAAATGGAAAATCAATCGGTTCCAGTACCAGGGAAAAGTTTCAACCGTAGAAATAATTAAATTTATATTAGTGGCCACCAAACCAAAAAAACGCCCTTACTCTCTTCTCTACCGAATTTATTTGTTTCTGATTCAAGATCGCTGATCAGCAAGATTGACGAACTGTCTGCTACAGTAAAATCCTATACATCAGACATTGTCGTTGTTACCGAAACGTGGCTTTCTTCAAGTGTTCCTAATTCAGCAATAGATTTATGCGGTTATTCCTTACTGAGGCATGATCGTTCCGACGGCAGACGAGGAGGTGGAGTCTGTGTCTTTGTAAAGGATATGCTTCCGTTCATTCATCTTAAAGAGATTGAAAGTCACGAATATGAGTCGCTTTGGTCACTCTTAAAACCTCACCGCTTGCCTCGTGGTTTAAATTCAATTGTATTGGGAATCGTGTACCATCCACCTGGAAGTGACGATAAAGCCCTTCTTTCACACCTTACCGAATCAATCGATTCTGTCCTTTCCACCAATCCCGGTGCAGGAATTATTTTGGCCGGAGATTTTAACCAATTTAAACATCGCCAGTTATGCAGTTCCTTTAACCTCAAGCAGTTAGTCAAAGACGCTACTAGAGGAAAGAATATTTTAGATAAAATATTTACCAACATTTCTAAATTTTATAATTCTGCCCTGGTAATTTCTCCAATTGGACATTCCGATCATAATTCCATCGTTCTTAAACCTCTTTAGTACGAGACTCTCGCCCAACAAATCGTCGAATTGTTAGCGATCATCTGTCGAAAGTTAATTGGTTACCTTTGCACCATATGGAATCTTGTGACGAGCAGTTCCAGTATTTTTCCACCATCGTTGATAATATCATAAACGAACATTTGCCTTGGAAACAAATCAAAATTGATTCTAGTGACAAGCGTTGGATTACTTCCGAAATAAAATCTCTTATTTCCAAGCGGCAGACAGCATGGGCGGCTGGCAATAACCTGATGTTCAGATTCTATCGAAACAAAGTCAATGCACTTTGCAAGAAGGCACGACTAAATTACTACAATAAACGTATCGCGGGCGTTCAACAGTCCGATTCTCGTAAATGGTGGTCAGCGGTGAAGAATATTGCCGGTCTTCAGTCTTCTAAGAATGTATCTACAATGATGTTCCAAGGTAAATCCTACTCTGATGCCGATTTAGCAAATTTGCTCAACGACAAGTTCGTTGCTGTAGGGTCCTCCTTACCCAATCTAAACTGGCTCCCCCTTCCCACAAATGACATTCCAGATGATTTCTGCATCTCTGTCGAGGAGACTGAAAAGGCCCTATTATCATCTAAACTTCATTCATCTGCTGGTCCCGATGAAATTCCTTCTTGGCTTCTCTGGGAAAACGCTTCAGTGTTGTGTCGACCTTTGTGTTCTATTTTTAATTCATCAGTTCGTGAAGGATTTGTTCCCTCAATATGGAAGGCAGCAAATATTACACCAGTTCAAAAATCTTCGCCTCCTAAAGATGTTGATTCTGACTTCAGACCAATCTCCCTCACACCAATTATCAGCAAGATTCTTGAATCCTTTCCCTACAAATGGCTACTTGACTCCGTCTCAAAAAAAATTGATTCCTTGCAATTTGGTTCGCTGAAGGGTTCAAGCACTAGTATGGCATTAATCTACATGCTACATAAATGGTTTGAAGCAGCTGACAAACAAGGTAACACTATACGGATTTGTTTACTTGATTTTTCCAAGGCGTTTGATAGATTAGATCATAACATTCTGTTGGAAAAATTGAAAGACATGGAAATTCATCCCGTGTTACTCAACTGGATCGCAAACTTCCTAACAGGCAGACAACAAAGGCCCGTGTTGGTCAGTTCTTTTCTGAGTGGAAGTTTTTAAACGCCGGCGTCCCACAAGGAACGAATCTTGGCCCGCTATTATTTTTGATTATGATAAATGACTTGGCTGTAGCGGATGTAACTGTTAAATTTGTCGATGATACTAGCCTTTGGGAAATAATATCAAACAATTCCCCTTCCCAGTTACCCGCTAACATCATCAGCTGCTCTGAATGGTCATCAGACAATAATATGAAGTTAATTAAACGTATCAAAGACCAAAGAATTGCGTGTCTGCTTTTCTAAGCTTACTCCATTGTTTGCCCCTATTACCATTCGCGGTCAAGAGGTCGACGTCGTCTCCGAGGCCAAACTGTTGGACGTTGTCCTTTCGGACGACCTCAAATGGAACTGCCATATTGACTACATTTGCAAGAAAGCCGCGAAGCGTTTGTACGGTCTGCGCCTTCTTAAAAGAAATGCTTTACCTTCTTATATTCTGATCTCAACTTATTGTACACATATTCGACCAATTGTCGAATATGCTTGTCAGGTGTGGCATTATGACCTTCCTCATTACCTGAGTGATCAAGTTGAAAAAATACAAAAAAGGGCATTAAAAATTATTTTCCCTGGAACTATCTATGCTGAATGTTTGCTTAAAGCTAACTTGATGACTCTTTACGAACGTACAGCTGTTCTTTGCAAGCGACTTTTTTCGAAGATGTTGGAACCCACTCATAAACTGAATGCCTTAGTACCGCCTAAAAGTCTTCAAACGTATAATCTGAGGTCTTATCCCAACTTATTAGTACCTAGGTGTAGAACTGAACGTTTTTCGAACAGTTTCATTCCTGCTGCGTCTCGTGCTTATAATAATAAGTAAACTTTAGATTATTATCGTTATTTTTATCTAACTTACCTATTTTTACCTGTAAATATAGAATAGATTGAATACCTATGTTCTTATACCCTGTAATTCCAAAGTAATTCAGTTGTTACTGCTAGTTTGGAAATTTATAATAATAATAATAATAATAATAATACTGGTACTTGGAAATTCATGGATCATGATGTATCCATTTCAGAGTCCCTGTCAAGAAACAGTGAATCCCGTATGCAGAATCGCCTTGATGAGGTAAAAACATGGGCTGACAACAACCTAATGAAGCTAAATCCAAAGAAATGCAAAGAGATGCACGTCTGTTTCCTCAAAGAAGAGCGACCCATTTTAGAACGTCTCAATTTGAGGGAACACCCCCTAGAAATCGTTTCCCATCATAAGGTTCTTGGCTTGGTTATACAGGATAATCTTAAGTGGAATGGGCATATTGCCATGATTGTCTAAAAGGCCTCCAAGCGTTTTCATATTGTTAGAGTTCTTAAACGGGGTGGAATCCCACCTCATGAACTGATCCTTATTTACTATGCTCTCATTCGCTCCGTACTAGCCTGCGAACAGGCTCTCAAGCTGAATTGAGAGCCTGCATCGATGACTAATGAATTTGAATATCTGCGTCTCAAATCGTGACTCGAAATTCTCATTGGTCAGATGCTGTAATTTATATGTTTCCGCTGAGCTCTATGTATATCAACTGCTCAAGCAGCACTATGCATAAAGTCCATAAAAAACACATTAACTGATCAAATTGGTCTTGGCCGTCTTATATCAAAGCACGAAATGTTCTGTTTTGAGAAAACAGTATTTAAAACATTTTAACTTTCGCTTCAATATCTTATATTTCGAAAAACAGTATAAACGGTACGGTCTAAATTTAGTTTGCACGGTCTAAATTTAGTTTGCATGAAAGTTGTAAACAACACCATATAAGGATAGACATTCCATATTTGGAAAAACGAACGTTACGGGGTAGATATTCAAATTCATTAGTTATCGATGCAGGCTCTCAATTCAGCTTGAGAGCCTGTTCGCAGGCTAGCTCCGTACTAGAGTACTGCTGCATTGTATGGCATAACAATCTACCAGCTTATCTGGCGGACCCAATTGAACACTGAATATAATCCTCCCTGGCAGGTCTTACCGTGAAGCTTTGAGTCAGCTCCATTGTTCTCGCCTAGATGAGAGACGCGATGCTTTGTGTGAAAGGACGATTAAAAAGACAACTGATGGCAACCGCCTGTTTTATCTCTTTTCTCAGACTAGAGAAAACGTGAACAACGATTTACGTAATGCTAACAATTGGTCATTGTTCAAATGTAGAACTGATCGTTTTCAGAAAAGCCCCCTTGTTTCCCAAGTATGATTCGAGTTCTAAATATGTCATCATGACACTAGTTTTTGAATATCTAAACTATTACAATATATACTTTCCTCACACCTAAATTTTTACATTGTAAATATAGTATTAAACTTATTGTATCTTTATTAACTTAGTTATGTAATTATTGTAAGCACATTGTAATTCAATTTTTTGTGATATTGTGCCACTAAAAAACGCATATATAACGTATATATAACACTTATATTTGACATGTACAACACTTAGTGAAACCCACGAACAATAAGAGATTGTTCATTGGATGCACAAACAGCCATGTCGTACCAAAAATGCATGGCAATCCCAACCTGGGCAAAACGCTATACTGTTTCACTATATAGCTATTTACTATAATCCAGCTAGATATATACTCGCTTTCTGTCCACCTATATATAATACCGGCCCAGGAATGGAATTTGCCGAGGCAAGCAATAATTTGATTTTCATCCATATCATAACAAATAATCGGCATACATAAGTTGCTTTATATGTCGGCTTAGGTCGCATTAGCATATATTCACAAACATAACCAACAGATCTTGGATTTTGACGAAAGAATGTTGCATAAATGAATATACTTCCGCTTTCGTCCTCAGATGCAGGTCAACTATTTGAAAAATACACTGTCAAGGTCATTTGACAACATCGTCAACTGACAGCATTCGCATTAACATTTGGCAAAACAAAGACCTGGGGACGAGGTTGCGGCAAAACTTGAATTCGGAACGATTAATCGTTATGAGTAAACGTACCTTAAAGGCCGGTTTCCATTTCAGTCGCTTTGCTCGCGCGGGCGAAGCGGGCTTTGAAAATCTGCTCACGCGGGCGTGAGATCGTCAAAAACAATGAACGCTTTCGCCCGCGCGAGCAAAGCGAACGTTAATGGCCGTTATACTATAGCCTTTTTCATAATTTAATGTTTTCTAACGAGCTTTGGGGGCTCAATTACTGGGAATAATCGAAATAGCAATTTTACAAACAGGAATTCTTCAACGTCTATAAAGTAGTAGTAGTAGTGGTAGTGGTAGTAGTCTCCGAGCCGACGGCGCGAAGCGCCGTGCGAGGGTACTAATTCCCCCCGGCTATTTGCACCCGGGGAAACGAAAGCATTAGCGGAGTCTAAAGTTCATCAATAATTGCAGGCGTGGGTGACCAACGATGGGTGGTCATCCTCACTAATCTCAAAAATATGGCGGACTGTCATGAATAGCGGACACTGATTCGTCTAATTTAAAGTTTGCATTACGACTGCATGACGACAGCGAAATAGCAAACATTTCTTGATTTGATGGTTGATAAATTTCTTGCAAATATATTTCATTTTTGCTCGCATTTTTGCAAGATTTTGTAAATTTCAAAAGCCTTCTCAGGGAGAAAGGGCGAAAGAATCGGCTTAAAGAAGGGAGCCGACGTTAACGAAGGTAAGTTTGTTTTAAATATTAATTTTATAATAGCTTTAAAACCCGACGGCCTTTGTGTATACGAAACAACTAAACAAGACAGCATATAATTTCAGTGTATCTTTATTTTGATTCCCTTTTATTTTTATTATATTGAATTTTTTAAATGAAAAAGAAAGCAAAGTTATTTACATGCGAGAATTTGAAATCATTTTATTGCAAACTCAAAGTTTATCGATAAAGCCATTTAATTCATTTTCAAAGCAGTTTAGTTTTATAAAGAACATTTTAAAACGTTTTGCGAAGCGTTTGTGGTTGAATTTTACCTTAAATTGAAGCTTATGTTACGTAGTAGTAGTAGTAGTAGTAGTAAGTAGTAGTATTAGTAAGAAGTAGTAAGTAGTAAGTAGTAAGAAGTAGTAAGTAGTAAGAAGTAGTAAGTAGTAAGAAGTAGTAAGTAGTAATAAGTAGTAAGTAGTAAGAAGTAGTAAGTAGTAAGAAGTAGTAAGAAGTAGTAAGAAGTAGTAAGTAGTAAGTAGTAGGTAGTAGTAGTAGTAATAGTAGCAGTAGTAGTAGTAGTAGTAAGTAGTAGTAGTAGGTAGTAGTAGGTAGTAGTAGTAGTAGTAGTAGTAGTAGGTAGTAGTAGTAGTAGTAGTAGTAGTAATAGTAGTAGTAGTAGTAGTAGTAATAGTAGTAGTAGTAGTAATAGTAGTAGTAGTAGTAGTAATAGTAGTAGTAAGTAGTAAGTAGTTAGTAGTAGTAAGTAGTAAGTAGTAGTAAGTAGTAGTAGTAGTAAGTAGTAGTAGTAGTAGTAGGTAGTAGTAGTAGTAGTAAGTAGTAGTAGTAGTAGTAGTAGGTAGTAGTAGTAGTAGTAAGTAGTAGTAAGTAGTAGTAATAAGTAGTGGTAGTAAGTAGT